ACAATGGAGACTATAGGTAGAGTCGATTTGTCTTTGTGTTTTGAATGGCTTGTGGTTCTGATGTTTGGGGCTTTGTCGGGTTAGAGTTATGGGTCTTGAGGCCTTAGGTTCAGAGTTTTGGGGGTTGCGGGTTTTGACGATTGAACTTGAAATTTCACAGACGGAAAGCCCCATGGCCTTCGGCTGCAGAATTCTTAGTACGTAGATCATCCAAGTCTGGTTCTTTCGCTGTTTGAAGTACCCACGGCCTCTGTAGTGACCATGCTGGTGGACTTGACGCTCGCAGTGGGATTGCTTGGAGGTTCTTAAGTTTATAAGGCTGAAGGACAAGTGCTCACACATGGCATGAGATGCAACATTTCCAACCGTAAGCCGCCGACAAGAAATTCCAAACCCTAAGCCGCACAAGCTCTGAACTAAGCCCGAAGCTTCGTTCTTAAACCTTACCCTAAGGGTCCATGTACCCAAACAGATATACTTTGGCCTTAAGGTAGTCCCTATTTGGGTACTTTGGGGCCAAAGTATATCTATTTGGCTACATGGACCCTTAGGGTTAAGGCATCAGCTACAAGTTTCATCTGCACGAACAACACCGCGCTGTAGAGCCCAGGTCACGAGCGCGACTTGGACACGGATGCCTGGCTGGCAGAGAGGTCGGGCTCGGGCCCCTGGGCCGTTGCTTTATATATGGTATTCAGCATCCCCATAGAGCGTCAGCCCGTCTAAGGGGTCTACCCGAAGCCCTAAGCCCGAAACCCAGAACCCTGAACCCCAAGGGTAGGGTTTAGGGTTTAGGGCTACCCCTAGCACGTCTCAGGACTTTCTGCTGATCGTGCTTCGCGATCTTCTCCCAAAGCGGCCGAATCTCAGGTTCCTGGCCCAGGGCTCCTTTTAAAGGATTCCTCTTAAAAAGATTCCGAAACGGGTTCCCTGAACTTGAGTCCTATCATCTTATCTCTAGCCGGCTTCCTTTTAAGGGATTCCTCTTTAAAGAGGGTTCCCCAAACGGGTTCCTAATATAAAATCCAGAGTCGGGCTCCTTAAAAGGATTCCTATGCTAATTTGCATAGGGTTCCTTGAAACGGGTGGTTATAAGGGATGTGGAAAGGTTCTATATTATGGAGGCCTTCATATTTAGGTCAGGGCTGTTCTATGATTTATAGGACGTTTTTTGAGCTGTCCCGTAGGCTTTTCTATGATTGATAGGCTGTTTTTAGAGTTTGTGTTTGAGCTTTATATAGGGACCTCGATGATTCGAAAAGATCGGGATAGGGGCTTTGAGGCTTGGTGGGGGCCAGAGGCTACTCACTTGCTGGAGTTTTGGATTTGTGGTTTGGTTTATCTGCTTGTGTACGTCGTTATGGCTGCATGGGGGCATCGGTCAGAAGCTTCTGACGATGCTGGGCGCTCTTCATTCAAACTTGCAGCATGTTCTTTCAACCCTAACCCTAAACCCTAGACCCCTAAACCCTGAAACCCTAGAAGCAAGCATGAGGCTAAAATCGGCCTCGACAGACAGACAGACGGACGGAGAGACAGAGAGGCGCTTGAAGCACGGCTGATTTCTCAGGGTAATACATCCCCCAAAAAACATCTAAAGAGTTAAGGCCCTTATAGTGCAAATGGAGAAGAAAGGTTAAGCCCTAAACCCTTATAGTGCACAAGGAGAAGAAAGGTTTGTTTGAGGCATCAGTGGTACGTAAGAGTCTACTTCGTGATGAGGGTTTAGGGTTTGCAGATTAGGCTTGATGGTTTAGGGTTTAGGGTTGAGGGATCCAGAAGCCAGAGATCCTAAGCATCCTCGCCATGCTTGTTGGAGACAGGATCGTTCTGATGTCTGCCACGATCAATGCGCAGATCTTCAAGGACTTTGCTGGAGCTTGCTGAGATCACTGGCTTAGGGTTATAGCCTTTATCGCTAAAGCCCTGAACCCAATTATAAGGGTCTATGTACCGAAGCAGTATATAAGTATATACTCTGGCCTTAAAGTAGCCTGCAGGCAGGAACTCCACGGCAAGCGGGGTAGCTTGTGTGCGTGGCCCTACGGCCCTTATTAGGGGGTGCGCGGTATTTACGAACGCTTAACTCCCCGCATACGCGGATATCTGGATGTGCACAATGCCAGCGGGCGAAAGCCTCTGCACCAAATTCAGGGAAGCGTGGGCATACTAAAATCGGAGAGAAGTAGTCGCCGTCACTTGTGTGCGTGTTCCCCGATAAGGGCGCTCTTGCTCAGCAAGCTCAGCATTCCAAGTGCAGGTATCTTATTTCAGAAATCACCCCCACTCTCAGATCCTCTACGCCGCTTCAACAGCAACCTCGAGAATCCTGTAAACCCTAAACTCGAGAGCCCCAAGCCCTAAACCATGCTACACCGTGCAGCCTGCCAGGATTACTTTCAGGGCTCGCAGTCCATCAGCATCCCCGGGCGGACCTTTCCAGTGACCTCCTACTACCTGGAGCATGCCTTGCTGCCCGGCCGGGCGGAGGGTAAAGATCATTGTCATTATTGGTTACTATCATTACCACTACTGCTAGTAGCATAGCATTATTATTGTTATTGTTATTATTCTTCTTATTACTATTTGTAGTATTCTTATTATGTATATATATATACATATGCACATTCAAATATACATGTATTAGAGGGTTCAAGGGTCGGGTCTGGTGTGTTGTGTGTGAGTGAGTGTGGGGACTTCTTCGCTTACTTGGCCTCCCATGACTTGCAACAACTCAAAAAGACAGAATCTGCGAGACAAATGCAATGCCTTCTCAAACTCAAACCCGAAGCCTTGAGCACAAAGCCATGCGAACCAGAATGTCGTCAGTGTTTTGCATAGTCATCGTCTCCTCGTTCCAACTGGCATCCGTGGCTTTTGGGTGGGGGTTGTTCTAAACCCTAAACCCCTAAACCCCTAAACCCCGAAACCTAAACCCTGTTGTTAACATCAAAAAGCCTGTAGCGGCTCCGCCAAGGATGCACACCAACTTCGTGATTGAGCCAGGCTCTGAGTACTGCCGCAAGGACGCCCACTTTCTGCTATGCAGGACTTAGGGTTTAGGGTTAATAATTAAGATACAAAGGTTTTGCGAAATAAGCAAGCTGAATATCATAACGGAGAGCAACGCATGTTTGTTTTTGCTACATCTCCCAATTCTATGGTCTCGTACAAGTCCGTCCCAGACCCGAAGCCCCGTTTCAGCCTGTTCAAGTCCCAGCCGGATACCCTAAACCCTGGTTCTCAAGGGTTTATGTAGAAGCCTGCATGACGATTTGTAGTGTTTTTTTTCGTTTTTTGTTTAAGGGTTCCTTGTTATAAACGCAGCACATATGACGAATCATCGTGTTGTTTTAAGGGTTCCTTATTATAAGAGCAGTAGAATCTCTAGTCCAAGATCCTCTTCAAATGATCACTACCTTGAAGTCACGAAGCCTTGCGGTTCGGCACTTTCAGGCCGCAGGATTGTAGGGCTCGGTAGGCCTGCCGAAGCCGAGGGGTTTAGGGTTTAGGGTAAAGCCCCGTAACCTTGAAACCGGGCACAGCTACTGCAGTCCCACTACTTGGAGGTTCATGGGTAGTTATAAGTGGGGTTGTAAGTAGGGTGACTGTCCGTGTTAGGGGACTTATAACCCTACTTATAACTAGCCATGAACCTCCCCAAGTAAGACTAAGATGAATGGGGAATCGACAGCTGGTTAGATCATGCTCAGCATGATCATTATTCTAAACGGCCATACGTAGTTCTCAGGCTCCGTGGACCCTGAAGACATGAACCATGAACCCTAAACTGTGCTTTCCCATAGCCGAACGACCTGCACAGCCCTTCCGAACTCACCCGACAGTTCTTAGCTGTAGAGTTGGGCATAGTAAATGGGTCTTGAACAGCATGCTGTAGGTCGTTTGTTTCAGCAGTAGTGCTGGGGCACTTGACAGGACGTTGAGCCTCAAATGGACTACCACGAAGAGGAGGAGCTGAGGCTGTTTAGGGTGTATCCATTTCTGGAGCAGCAGCCCCGAGCATTTTAGTCAGGAAATAGGGTCTACGTTCGGGTCCGCATGTTCTCCAACGTCGCCTATATTCGAGAACCTATATGAAAGCCTAGCGGGTTTACCTTGAGAAGTTCTTCCAAAGTTGAACATAATCTAGAGATTGCTGGGTTGTTGGGGCTTCCTGTCGCAACAGTAACGTATCCTGCAGCATAGCCCATGTCTACATGGATTGCAACCCCCCAGCTGCACTTCTTGATAACATGGAACTTAGTTTGAAGAAGTTATTAAAGAGACAAGCCTAGTATGGTAAGAGTTATAGTAGGGCTCTAAGTTGTAAGAACAGACCGCCCCGTAAAGCCAAAAAAAGACTCAGAGGATGCGCTCACCGCAGGCAGGCTTACGAGAAGCCGGAGAATGCCGACCTTGTTGGAACAAAGCTTCCTCGGCATGTGCTACAGCAGCTGGTTGGCTGCAGTTTTGGGACGCCAACAAGAATTGGAAGTTGTTTTTTGGGTACATCATACTTAGTGACTCAGTCATAGTCTGTTTATTTGGAGACGACGGGGGAATTCGATTACGAGCATTTCGCGGATGCCACGCCTAAACGGTTATAACGGTTAAGCCCTGCACCCTGAACCCAAACCCTAAGACCCTAATCCCTCAACCCCTAGGCCCCAGGCCCCAAACCCTAAGCCCTCAACCCCACGCCCTAAACCCTCAACTCTATCCCGGAGAATCCCAGCCCCGAAGCGAAAAAACCCTTGTGCCTTGAGCCAAGCCCTAGAAGTTGTCAAAGCCTGAACCCGAAGGGTTTAGGGTTTACGGTTTAATGTTGAGGGTTTAGATCCCGAGCAATGATAGTACGAATCATGGCAAGACTAGTAGTAATACCAACAACAACTCGTAAGAAGCATTATACCGCAAGCCCCTTCCAAGGCTCCACCGAGTCGATCCAGAGAAAATCAACTTCGAGCTCGTGGCCCAGGTGGTGCGCCACATCCACACCCAGGCGGCCGCTGGTTTCTGCTTGCTTTTGCTGGTTGAGTTTTTGAGCTTTTGGGTGGTGTATGGGCTTTGGGGTCGTGGGCTCGAGGAAAGTTGGGGGATTGGGGATTCGGGCTGAGGCTTTGGAGGGTTTGGGGTTGAGAGTATCTGTGCTTGTTGCTGCTTTGAGGTCTCAAGTCGAAGGCTTAGGGTTGAGAGCTTGACTAGAGCACCCTATACAAGCCCCCTTAGACCCTAAACCCTAAACCTATGGCCTCCGCTCATCTTGAGGTGGATCCTTGCAAAGAAGGAAAATCGCCAGGCACCTGGAGGAAGCGGGCCTTCAAGCATGTTGGGCTGCCGGTTCACTGACAGCGGGGCTTTAGATTCAGGGCTTAAAAGGCTTTAAGGGTTTAGGGGTTTAGGGTTTAGGGTTTAAGGGTTTAGGGGTGTAGGGTTTAAGGGTTTAGGGGTTTAATAAAGAAGTTGGTTCCTCAAGGCCTTTGGCGAGAAGATGAGGGACCCCAACAACCCGAAGTAGTCGGAAGGACGCCGAGTCCAGAAATCTGCAGGTTCTAAAGCGGGCACCCACCTTCAAATCCCTGAAATCCCGGGTTTAGGGTCTAGGGTTTAGGGTTCAGGGCAAGCCCTCGAATCCTAAGCTTCCTAAAGCCTAAGCCCTTTGGGGTGCCGAGGCCAGGGGCGATCCTGGTGTTCGTTCCCGGGCTCAGCGACGCTTGGACAATGAGCTCAGGGTTACCCTAAAGCCCAAAGCCCCAAAGCCCCTCAGCCCCTAAACCTTAAACCCTTTTTACAGGGCCTGACCTGAACCTTTAAGCTGCAAAGCTGCTCCTAAGCGAGGTAGGTTTACGGTTGGCGGGTTTAGGGTTTGGTGCTTTGGGTTTAGGATCCTAAACCTGGAAACCGTAAACCCTAAGCCCCTGAACGCTACATGCTTCCTCAGGAAATCAAGAAAGCGATGCGATGTTTGGAGGAGGATACGCTTCTACGAAGTGGATCCTCTTGATGCGGACAGCCTCCAAGCCTAAAGCGTAGAGTAGTATAGAAGCTTGTATAATTACAATATAATATTCCTTATGGGGCTCTGCCTTCGAACTATACGATGATATGCCCGCCCCCCAACCCTCATCTGATGATTTAGGGCCGCCACATTAAACCCTAAACCCTAAACCCTAAACCCGACCCAAAAACCCTAAACCCTGAACCCTCACGAGCCAGTCTGCTTTTGGGGCAGGAGATGTCCGGCAGCAAAGGCAAAGCGAAGGGCAAAGATTCCTTCGAGAAAGGCGCCTTGGCGGGGTCCCTCTTTGGGGTTTAGAGCTTTTAGGGTTTAGGGTTTAGGGTTTGGGGTTTAGGGCTTAGTGGTTTGATTTACGGGTGACCCCCCTTGAGGCACCTAAATCACGCTTATGTGCTCGGGGAAAGTTTGACTTGGCCTTCGGGGCACGTCGGGGTCGCTTGTTCTTGTGTGCGTGTGTGTGTGTACATACATACATACATACATACATACATACATACATACATACAGACATACAGACATACAGACATACATACATACAGACAGACAAGCATACGTACATATTTATGTATACACACATATAGGTACGGGTTTTGGGGTTTAAGGGTTGGGAAGTTCAGGGTTTAGAATTAGGGCTTGCAGCCTAAACCCTACAGCCTTAATCCATTCGCATGACAAGTCGAAAAGGCTCCGGCAGCTTCAGCTTGAAGAGCCCTAAGTCCTTCTAGGTTTTAACACTTTTCTGACGATTATTCATGGATCTATCTATCTACCTACCTACTTACTTATCTACCTCCCTCCCTCCCTCCATCAATACCTACCTACCTACCTACC